TGATTCTATTTTTAGCACACCTACGTTCACAAGATTGATCAGGATTCAACAAAAAATCTTATTCAATATGATGAGATGTGTAAAATCAAACATATTATGATATTAGGACTGAATATTCAATTTTCGCTAATAGAGGCATTACGTTATTTCAAATGGACTTTATTCAGCTTAAAAAGAGGGGTGGTGGGAGAACTTTAAATCCAGTGTCATCTCGTTCTTTTTGTGAGAAATTTATAGTCATTGAGATAATTTAAGATGAAGATATCTGACATGAATTAGCTCTCTTGATTAAAGTTCTTTGGCTGAAAATATTACCGTGAAGTTCTGACGGGTGGAATTGAAAAATGAATAAATGATTACCTACTTTTTTGAACTATATCTTGATTAATGCAATCTAAGGAGTTGGTTGAATATAGTGGACTTTTTTGTTTTAGGTAACTTAGTAATGTAGACCAATAATTGAAGACTAAGTTTGTCCCAACTTTGTAATGTGGATACAAATTTTTAGGCTTAATAAAAGAATACCCAGACGGCGAGTAGGGTTTGGCCAACAGTCGGTACCGCTGGACCAAGTTTTACATTAGTTACTTAAACAAAGTGAAAATATAAGTTTATTTCTTTTGCAAGAATATCAAATATACTGACTAGTTAATAGCAAACCCTCTTCATCGTGATGAAAGAAACGATTTTAATCAGAACTGAAACGAGAGAAGTAAATTAAACATTTTCAAAGATAGCGAAGTAGTTTCTTTTAAATTATTTTACCTGTAAAGTTATTTCTTTAGTTTTATCTTTTTCTTGGCAGGGTTTTTGCTGCAAAGTGAAAATGTTCGGTAGACTCACTCTGTAATGTGTTTAAAGTACATAAATGACGAGTGATGAAATTAGCACTTCATTAAACTTTAATACACCACCAAGACAGTCAGTGCATACGATAGTACACTTTCTATATCCTACTTACAAAAACTATGGTCAAACGAGCAAGCACATTTACCTACGCCTAGATAGCCCCCTTGCAGAGTACCTTCCCATAAATTTAGGTAGGTACTCTATAATGTTATTTACATTATACATCCACACGTAACGTGGCTGAAGTCTAGTTGCACTTAAATACAGGGTCTCAACCACTAGGAAACTGTAATTTATTTTGCAAATAAATCATACATTCATTATGACTACGGACCGTGAAAAACTGAACGGGATCTTCCCTTTGCCCCTATTTTATGTTTTTCCAAGAAAGTAAGATGGACTGCAAATTTATTCGGATAGCACTATCGTTGTTTTTGCTGGAACATCGACGCCCGGAGGCAGAGCTGTATAATTTCCATACATCATGTCTGTATAAAATACATGCTTTCTTATGGCACCCCCAAACGCTATTAGGCGGAACAATGGGATTTATATGAGACGATTAGTGAGTACATGAGATTATACAGGTCGCTTACACTGATCATCGGACCACAAAACCAAATGTGGGGGCGATTTTGAATCACGCTGGTGATAAAAAAATGTTAGGCGATGAAAACAAGCATTATGTAGAGGTCAAATATTTTTTTATATTGTGTAATCTATTGTTTCACTGGTTGAGTTTTTATTGGCGGTCAAGCTGGTTAAACAAGAGTTGCAGCGGTGGGAACGGAGGTGGGAATAGTCCCGTAATCGAAGTATGTTGTTTCGATAGATTGATGTAAAAGCAAGAAAATGTTTTTATTGTCGTCATCAATAAGCTCTACTTCAGCTTAATATCTCATTTCAAACTTTTCTATTTGCTGCCTAGCCTAATGACTCCCATGGCTACAATGTTAGAGGTCGCCGGTCCGTTTTTACTACATTATGCACATGCATCACATACATTTGCGAAGAAAAAATATCTATCTTTCTATTAAGTCATCTCTTCCCTGTTCAGTCTTCACCTCACGATTCCCTCAAATCCACCATCTTGTGTAAAATCCGTCTCGGAGTGCCAAGGCGCGACATTCATTTGTCAACGCGCGCTCTCCTGACCTGCAAACGACAGCCCAGGCGACTATCAACCTTGATGCGGAAGTAACAAAGACCATGGGCTCCATATTCATAAATTCGTGCTGCTTACTCCTGTTTGAGGGTGGACTAGATACAATTTGTAATGAAAGTGGTTGTGGTAGGGTCGCACATTGAAACCTTATCGAGAAGACTGATGTTAAAACGTCTACACTTTAGGTAATACTTTTAAAATATAAGGTATTTTTAAATGTCCCTTACCTTATCCCTAAGGAGAGTTATAACTACACGATGACTACTTAGATAAGAATACTTGCAATGACTCGTGCTTATCACAATAACCTGTAATGAATATGTGAAGATAAATAAATAAATAAATTTGTTGTCGTCGGGCCGAGAATCGGCATTTACTCTGCCAGGTAGCAGTTTGTCTGATATGGCGTTCTTGGGTCGCTCATAAAATAATATCGAAGTGAAGGGTTTGAAAACCAAAGAATTCGCATCTCTGAAGCAAAAAATCCGCCATTTTAGACCAGGCTTAACCAGGCATAGGTCAGGCTTTTTTTGTGAATACCTTCTCCGTTTCTCTACATTATGACGTGGGATAGGGGAGCGAAGTGGGCTGCAGTCAATAACAATAATCACGCGATTACCTAGAGTCGTCTTTGATTTAAAGTAAAGCCGCTCATTTGTGACGATGGCTGCCATTCGGCAAGAGACAGGGCGCGCTCACGTAGAAGAGATTCGGAGGAATCACATTACTTATGCTGGAAGGTAGATGGGTAGATGTGACAATGAAAGGTTTGCAGTTTGCGGTTTGATAAGATAATATTTACTGTGTTGAAATGTTGCTTAGTTCAGCTGCAAGTACTAGTGATGACTGCTAATTATAAATATGAAATTATTATTTAAATATGGCGATAGCTCGTATCAATTCAAAGAGTGTTAACTCCTACGTCCCGTGCATCTTACGTTCATGGATAGTCAAGACTTACCTTGCTAAAAGTTCCAAAGCAAAGTAACATTATCTTTACTTTATAGTAAGCTATCCAATGAATATAAATAAATGTAGGTCGTAATGATTGGTATTAGCAGAAGCGTCCATTTTTCATTATTTAGACCTCTTAGCAAAACGTTATTCTACATATTACCAGGCCTGTTCATCTCCGCGAGTTTACATCGAAAACAAAACACGCACGATGGCCCACCTACAGGATACTGTTCGACAAGGCCTCACATACGAGCGAACATTGACTCACGTACGCGTATTCTTGTGTATGATGGAAGAAAATAAAGAAATATTAATAAAAACACAGAATGTACTTTTTTAAGTTGCCTCAAGACACTGAGAGGTAAATAAGTAGTTAATATTATTCATGATAATTCATGCTAAATCATGTATTTCCTCCGCCATTTTCCGCAGTTTGGCACCTCACGTCCACTCATGTCACATCATTTTACCGAAGTCAGCCCTATAACTTCGGCGCAGTGCCGATCACTGACGTTTGTCAACAAAATGGTGCTTGACTCTTGAGACAGGCTAAATTACACCATATTGTTAATGACATTGAGCATACATTTTTTTAAATACCTTCGCGAAGTAAAACTTCTGTACGTAGTACTTATTTATTCTGTGATATTATGTCTAATGCTAAATTAATGAAAGAAATATAGCTAATCGAAGAAGGAAAAACAGTACCACAAATCTAAATTACTACTCTGTTTTAGGCCTGTATGATATTTGGTCTATGCTACAATTAGCCTAACCTTAAGCTTTGAATAGGGCATAGGCATATTTACTTTTGCTCTTCAAATAAAAACCGTGTCAGCGAACATCAAAAACCCAACAATGACAACAAAGCGTCATACGCCGCATTAACCGCGCTGAATATCGCGTTTTTCAATAAAAATAAAAACCCCTGTTTACCTGCGCCGGGTACAGGGTACAAGTGTACCCGCTGCAGGTATGAGGTAGTAATGCACTAAAAGAGCGAGAGACAAGCTTCGCCCGCCATTAATTAAAAAAACCACGCTCCAATTCGCAACTTTCCGTGCGGGCGCCACAGCTCAGACCAGATCAGTCTACTCCTAAAGAAAATTAAATTCAATGTTCCAAAAAAAAGTAAACAATAAATCTTTAATAATGTTGATTAATAAAATAATTATCAAAACGTCCGTTACAAATTCAAATTCCCTCTTCCCCCCCGGACCGCTCACAGAGTGCTCGTGTGCAAGTGCTCCGTCAAAATTTATTGTAAATTTAAATTAAAAGTGAATTTGAGTGATTATAGTGTGCGAAAAAAAAATAAAACCGACTCCAAAAAACCTACATTAAAAAGTAGAAAAATAATTACTAATAACCTACTTATTTATTAGGACGAATTAATATTTATGTAGGTATACCATGATTGATACTTCTGGAGTCGGTGCCAAGATTATGAAACATGTAAAGTTTGCCTGCACCGACTCCAAAAGTATCAATCATGGTATACCTACATAAATATTAATTCGTCCTAATAAATAAGTAGGTTATTAGTAATTATTTTTCTACTTTTTAATGTAGGTTTTTTGGAGTCGGTTTTATTTTTTTTTTTTTTTTTGCTATTTTTGATTTATTTTGTTTGACAAAGAGATAATTACAAAACGATTAAATACATGCCATTAAGTCTTCCCTCTTCCCCCCGGACCGCTCACAGAGTGCTTGTGTGCAGCAAGTGCTCCGTCAAAATTTAGTAAATTTAAATTAAAAGTGAATTTGAGTGAATAAAGTGTGCGAAAAAATAGGAGCCCATAAGCAAACAGGAGGTATCGCTGAGCCTGGTACTTCGTAGCACATCGCGCCTATGCTCCGCCCACCATCTACCGCGTAGCAATACGTCATCATCGTGATATCCGTAGCGCGCTACGAGTTACCTGCACGCAACATCGCTGTGTACTACGACAGCGCTACGAACAATCTCTGCTGTTGTCTGCCGCCCTGGTACTTTGATACTGTACGCGATGAGTACTGCCGACGATTTATGTCCGTGTGCGAATTGGAGGCCAGCCCAGAGGCATGCGGCGGCGTTACGACACCGACGAGCTACGTGTTTGCGCGTGATAAAAGTGTGACAACGGATGATTTTAACAAATTTAAGGAAGAGATCAGGGAAATGGTGCAATCTATGTTGTCTACACATAACGAATTAAAAACAATTACTCCTACACTGGTGGCAATTCAACAAACTAATCTTAATATTGAGAGCTCCATAGCATTTTTGACAAGCCAAAATGCAGAATTGAAAAATAAAATAGAACAGTTTGAAACACAATCCAAAAAAGATAGAGAGCACATTGCGATGTTGGAGGATAGGGTGGAGGAATTACAGAGAAATTACAGGAAGAACAACCTCGAAATTAAGAACGTACCGAAGACCAAAGACGAAACTAGGGACAGCTTAGTAAACATGGTATCTACCCTATCGAAAAACATTGGCTGTAATGTATTAAAATCTGACATAAAGGACATCTACAGGATAAAGAGCTCGCGAAGTGATGCCAAGAATACTTCAATAATAATAGAAACTACATCGACGCTCATAAAAAATGACTTCCTGAAAATGTGCAAATCACATAATGTCAAACGCAAGGAAAAACTGTGTGCCAAACATTTGGGCTTTACTACAAACGAAGACACTCCCATATTCATCTCGGAGCAGCTAACTGTTAAAGGATCTCGCCTGTTCTTTTTGGCAAGAGATCTGGCTAAGACAAAATCCTACAAGTTTTGCTGGACCAGTTTTGGAAAGGTATACGTCAGAAAAGATGACAACACACCAATAATTCTCATCAAGAATGAATCGCAAGTACATCATCTACTCCATGGAGCATGACTAGACCTGATTTATTGCATATTTGTCAAATTCTTGTTTTGTACTAGGATTAGTTTTCCTTATACTTCTGATCACTATCTAAACATAATTATCCAAATTTGGATTTGCACACTTCACACATACACACAAACACTCATACTCACACACATTACTCATGCCGTTTCTTGCTTTTGTTCATTCATCACAACACAAATAATTGAAAATCTTAATAATACTAAAAAATCATATTTAGACAGAATATCTACCTCCAGTAGTGAAATAATTCATAACCACGACATAGAAGCAACGCACATTGTACTTGTACAACAGCTTTATGAATAGTTCAATCACAAATTTAAAAGAAATAGACAATTTAAAAAATTCACAATCTGTTAAATGTGACATTTCAGAATTATCACAATATACTCAAACAAGTAATTCTGATCTATCAGTTGTTACACAAAATATCCGAAGTGTATACGGTGGCAACCTGGATGACTTGGAAATAACGCTGACACAACTTGACTTCGAGACTGACGTACAAATTCTAACAGAATGCAGACTATGTACAGACAAATGTATTCCTTGTTTAACCAACTATAACTCATTTGCTACAACAAAACACTTAAATCAGAACGACGGAGTTGTTGTATTTGTAAAAAACATACATACACCTAAAGTCTCAGAAGTTAATCTTCACCATGCTTCTTGTCTACAGATATCTTTTAACAACCTTGTTATCATAGGTATTTATCGTTCTCCATCAAATACTAATGCCGAAATGTTCATCGACTCCTTGAATACGCACTTATCTACTTTACAATCAAATAAAAATATTTTAATAACTGGGGACATAAACATAAACCTAATAGTAACACCAAACGACCAAGCCTGTGATCGTAACAACTGGTTACATTACTTAAATATGCTATCGATGCATGGTTTTCTTCCCGGACACTTATTACCGACGAGAGGACCAAACTGTCTCGACCATTTCATGGTTAAATTGGATGGACACAAATTTTCAGCGTTTATTGCGGTCCTTAATACTACTGTGACAGATCATTGCCTGGTACTGTTAAAGCTCTCTAATTTAATAAAATCAAAAGACCTATATACAAAAAAACTAAAACTGTGGTGGATTTTGAAAAAGCCGTCAATACTCTTAAACTTAAAAACATATCTGATTTACTAGACTCTAATGATCCAAACTACGTAGCAGATAAGCTAATTAATTATATACAAGAATCATTAGAAATCAACACAAAAACATCAAATATAAATAGTAATAAGCGTATCTGCAAACCATGGATAACGCATGGTATTGTGCGATGCATTAATAACAGAAATAAAATGCAAAAAAGAATGCGTTTAGACCCAGAAAATGAAATACTCAAAATAACTTACAGGAGATATCGAAACTATATTAATAATTTAATTAAAAAGTTAAAACGAAATTACGAGAGGGAACAACTTGCCAAATCAAAAAATAATGCTAAATCACTATGGAAATGTATAAATAATATAGCTAATATTAAACCAAGTAAAAATACTAATAACGACTTATTAAATACAAAAGATTCAATAAACGAATCTATCAACTCAGTAAACAATTACTTTGCAAACATCGGTACCGACTTAGCAGACAAAATAATAAAAAACCAGATAGCCATACAGTCTCACTCTCATTCCATAGTTGCCAACAGCGGTGTTCGCCCTAATAGCACTCTATCGTCATCTCAACACCAACTAACCTCATGTGTCCTATTAGAAACTGACAATGAAGAAGTTCAAACCATCATTATGAGCCTGAAGACAGATAGTGCTCCCGGATGGGATAAAATACCAACTCGGTTTTTNAGACTTAAGGTACTTTAATCAAGATTGATCAGGATTTATGTATTAACTACAAAAAATCTTATTCAATATGATGAGATGTGTAAAATCAAACATATTATGATATTAGGACTGAATATTCAATTTTCGCTAATAGAGGCATTACGTTATTTCAAATGGACTTTATTCAGCTTAAAAAGAGGGGTGGTGGGAGAACTTTAAATCTAGTGTCATCTCGTTCTTTTTTGAGAAATTTATAGTCATTGAGATAATTTCAGATGAAGATATCTGACATGAATTAGCTCTCTTGATTAAAGTTCTTTGGCTGAAAATATTACCGTGAAGTTCTGACGGGTGGAATTGAAAAATGAATAAATGATTACCTACTTTTTTGAACTATGTCTTGATTAATGCAATCTAAGGAGTTGGTTGATTATAGTGGACTTTTTTGTTTTAGGTAACTTAGTAATGTAGACCAATAATTGAAGACTAAATTTATCCCAACTTTGTAATGTGGATACAAATTTTTAGGCTTAATAAAAGAATACCCAGACGGCGAGTAGGGTTTGGCCAACAGTCGGTACCGCTGGACCAAGTTTTACATTAGTTACTTAAACAAAGTGAAAATATAAGTTTATTTCTTTTGCAAGAATATCAAATATACTGACTAGTTAATAGCAAACCCTCTTCATCGTGATAAAAGAAACGATTTTAATCAGAACTGAAACGAGAGAAGTAAATTAAACATTTTCAAAGATAGCGAAGTAGTTTCTTTTAAAATATTTTACCTGTAAAGTTATTTCTTTAGTTTTATATTTTTCTTGGCAGGGTTTTTGATGCGAAGTAAAAATGTTCGGTAGACTCACTCTACAACGTGTTTAAAGATCATAAATGACGAGTGATGAAATTAGTACTTCATTTAATATGTCATCACCAAGACTGTCAGTTCATACGATAGTACACTTTCTATATCCTACTTACAAAAACTATGGTCAAACGAGCAAGCACCTACGCCTAGATAGCCCCCTTGCAGAGTACCTTCCCATAAATTTAGGTAGGTACTCTATAATATTGTTATTTACATTATACATCCACACGTAACGTGGCTGAAGTCTAGTTGCACTTAAATACAGGGTCTCAACCACTAGGAAACTGTAATTTATTTTGCAAATAAATCATACATTCATTATGACTACGGACCGTGAAAAACTGGACGGGATCTTCTCTTTGCCCCTATTTTATGTTTTTCCAAGAAAGTAAGATGGACTGCAAATTTATTCGGATAGCACTATCGTTGTTTTTGCTGGAACATCGACGCCCGGAGGCAGAGCTGTATAATTTCCATACATCATGTCTGTATAAAATACATGCTTTCTTATGGCACCCCCAAACGCTATTAGGCGGAACAATGGGATTTATATGAGACGATTAGTGACTACATGAGATACAGGTCGCTTACACTGATCACCGGACCACAAAACCAAATGTGGGGGCGATTTTTAATCATGCTGGTGACAAAATGTTAGTGCGATGAAAACAAGCATTAAGTAGCAACAACATTCAACATTTTTAAATTGTATAATCTTTGTTGTTTTACTGGTTGGGGTTTTATTGAAAGAAAGGAAGAAAAATAATTTATTGGTTCAAACACAGCTTAACACAATATCAGATATGTTTGAAATAAAAATTGGCGGTCAAGCTGTAGATCCTGGCTACACAGGAGTTGCAGCGGTGGGAACGGAGGTGGGAATAGTCCCGTAATATATGTTGTTTCGATAAATTGATGTGAAAGTAAGAAAATGTTTTTATTGTCGTCATCAATAAGCTCTACTTCAGCTTCATATCTCATAATATCAAACTTTTCTATTTGCTGCCTAGCCTAATGATTCGCATAGCGGAACCGGACTACTATGCCAGAGTTTGCCGGTCCGTTTTTATTACTTTATGCATATGCAGCACATACATTTGCGAAGAAAAAATATCAATCTTTCTATTAAGTCATCGCTTCCTTGTTCAGTCTTCACCTCACGATTCCCTCAAATCCACCATCTTGTGTAAAATCCGTCTCGGAGTGCCAAGGCGCGACATTCATTTGTCAACGCGCGCTCTCCTGACCTGCAAACGGCAGGGCAGGCGACTATCAACCTTGATTCGGAAGTAACAAAGACCATGGGCTCCATATTCATAAATTCGTGCTGCTTACTCCTGTTTGAGGGTGGACTAGATACAATTTGTAATGGAAGTGGTTGTGGTAGGGTCGCACATTGAAACCTTATCGAGAAGACTGATGTTAAAACGTCTACACTTTAGGTAATACTTTTAAAATATAAGGTATTTTTAAATGTCCCTTACCTTATCCCTAAGGAGAGTTTTAAGTACACGATGACTACTTAGATAAGAATACTTGCAATGACTCGTGCTTATCACACTAACCTGTAATGGTGGTGTGAATGTGTGAAGATAAATAAATAAATAAATTTGTTGTCGTCGGGCCGAGAATCGGCAATCACTCTGCCATAAAATCTCGCTCATAAAATAATATCGAAATGAAGGTTTTGAAAACCATAGAATTCGCATCACTGAAGCAAAAAATCCGCCATTTTAGACCAGGCTTAGCCAGGCATAGGTCAGGCTTTTTTTGTGAATACCTTCTCCGTTTCTCTACATTATGACGCGGGATAGGGGAGCGAAGTGGGCTGCAGTCAATAACAATAATCACGCGATTACCTAGAGTCGTCTTTGATTTAAAGTAAAGCCGCTCATTTGTGACGATGGCTGCCATTCGGCAAGAGACAGGGCGCGCTCACGTAGAAGAGATTCGGGGGAGTCACATTACTTATGCTGGAAGGTAGATGGGTAGATGACTGTGGTGGATGTGACAATAAAGGGTTTGCAGTTTTGGGTTAGATAAGATAATATTTACTGTGTCGAAATTTTGCTTAGTTAACTGCAAGTGCTTGAGTAATGAATTCAAAGAGTGTTAACTCCAACGTCCCGTGCATCTTACGTTCATGGATAGTCAAGACTTACCTTGCTAAAAGTTCCAAAGCAAAGTAACATTATCTTTTTTTTTATGCATAACAAGGCAGGTATTTGACCACAATCGCACCTGATGTTAAGTGGGATGCAGTCTAGGATGGTACATATCTGCCCTGTAAGTGCCTGTAAGTCTTTACTTTATAGTA